TATCTGACCTCCGTCCTTCCCTTCAGTCTTGTATCTGACCTCCGTCCTTCTCTTCAGTCTTATATCTGACCTCCATCCTCCCCTTCAGTCTTATATCTGACCTCCGTCCTTCCCTTCAGTCTTATATCTGACCTCTGTCCTTCCCTTCAGTCTTATATCTGACCTACGTCCTTCCCTTCAGTCTTGTATCTGACCTCCGTCCTTCTCTTCAGTCTTATATCTGACCTCCATCCTCCCCTTCAGTCTTATATCTGACCTCCGTCCTTCCCTTCAGTCTTATATCTGACCTCTGTCCTTCCCTTCAGTCTTATATCTGACCTACGTCCTTCCCTTCAGTCTTGTATCTGACCTCCGTCCTTCCCTTCAGTCTTATATCTGACCTCCATCCTCCCCTTCAGTCTTATATCTGACCTCCGTCCTTCCCTTCAGTCTTATATCTGACCTCTGTCCTTCCCTTCAGTCTTATATCTGACCTCCGTCCTTCCGTTCAGTCTTATATGTGACCTCCGTCCTTCCCTTCAGTCTTATATCTGACCTCCGTCCTTCCTTTCAGTCTTGCACAGTTGTACCGGCTCCTCTCCTGGACTGAAATGGCTTCCTCTGATATCTCTGCACACTGGGAGCTTCTCACAATGTTCATTGGAAGCTGCAGCAAATCAGATAGAGCTCCACCCCATTTCCGGCATCATTTCTCACTTTCCTCCCCAGTCCTGACGGTCCCTGGTCAGCCTCTTTTGTTGATTGGATTTCAGTTCTTTCCATCATGGAGGCTCAGCACCACATGGGAGCGTTAAGGACAACCTGCATGCAAATGCAGCCTGTTTAGGACAGCCCACTCCTCCAGCCTGAACTCCACCAATCAAGACAATTATTTGCATAACTCCCCCCAAGAGCCAGCCCACTGCTTGCATCAGGGCTGAGGGCTCTTGAGAGAAGTACTAAGGCAGGGTGCTGTTATGTTTTCAGAAAGCTTTGTACAGCACCCTGCCGGCCCCTCCCACCAGCTATGATTTGCCTGCATTGCATAGAAAAGCACATAGGCCCAGTGACGATATGGAGGCCCGGCATCCCATGTGGGTGTTATGTAGAGCAGTCTGCATGCAAATGTAGCCTGCCTAGGAACGTCCACTCCTCTAGAATGACACGCTCCCATCAAGGCATTTTAATATTTGCATAACTCCTCCCAGGAGCCAGTCCAGTGCTTGCATCAGGCCCCTCCCACCAGGCATGATCTGCCTGCATTGCATAGAGAAGCACAGAGATTTTGTGATGCTTGATGGCACTGGTGCTGGGTTTTTGGCCACCCTGACATCCAGCACTATCATGAGGTGGCGGAGAGAGTCCTCAGCCCTGTTTAAGTCACGGCTGTGTGAACGCAGATTTACTTGAAAGGGAAAGTACATCAGTTCTCCTATCCTGCCAGACAGGGCTGTGCTGTATGGCAGAGCTGTGTACATCTCAGGATTGGATGGATAGAAATGTCAATCCACGGGCAAGTAACACCGTTCCCATGCGTTCCCATGCCGTGCGTTATGCATTTATCTGTTTGGATTTCAGCTGATGTCATTTTTTATTGCCTGCAATTGGTAGGACGTCCCCGTGGGCCAGGGGTTAAGGTCAATCTCAATTCATTTTATGATCTCCGATGACTGCTTTCGTCTGCTGCTCTTCTCAGTGATCGGGTGACTCCCGGGACCATCGAGGGATGAGGGAGTCAGTACCAATCACCCTGCAGATCAGAGTCTGGTGCAATCCCGAATATCTGCCACCTGTCATGGCTGACATGCCGCAATAATGTAATTCCTACAACAGGATAGGTCATGTGTCTTCTGACTGCCCCAGTGTACCTGTCCGCAGGTGTGTGAACCGCTGCTCCTATCTGCCTGATATGGAGGCAGATGTATGAACCACTGTCCCTATCTACCCCTTTTCATCTGATATTGGGGCAGATGTATGAACCACTGTCCCTATCTACCCCTTTTCATCTGATATTGGGGCAGATGTATGAACCACTGTCCCTATCTACCCCTTTTCATCTGATATTGGGGCAGATGTATGAACCACTGTTCCTATCTACCCCTCTCCACCTGATATTGGGGCAGATGTATGAACCACTGTTCCTATCTACCCCTCTCCACCTGATATGGAGGCAGATGTATGAACCACTGTTCCTATCTACCCCTTTTCATCTGATATTGGGGCAGGTATAAGAAATATATCACAAGTTATAAATGATGAGGCCTTTCTGCAGTCCAGGTCACTGGCCCTTGGGTCACTATGGGAAATACAGAGTGGGGCCTTGATGGACCAGTGACTAGGACAGCAGGGTTGGGGGGGAGGGGGCTTGACACCAAGGTTCTAAATATACTAATTTGGTCATTGTTTCCCTTCTTCTGTCTAGTTCTGGACACCTTTCCAATAGTACATTCTAGTAGTAGGGTTTTGTGGTGGAGGGGCATTGGACCCCTTGTCCCAGTAGTATTGAATCATATTGGACTTATGGTCATGATAGTTCTCGATTAGACATCGATTAGAACGGGACCCGCAGTCAGTGACAAATGCTGGGCATTATATAGCTACCTGCCCTCTGCTCATACCTGCCATCACGGGTCAGAGGGAATGTCTTCCAGGACTGACTTCCTTTAAAACACTGAAAACTGGGCAGGGCTGACACCACTCCTGGAAGAAGTCCACAAAAATGCTGTGTGTTGTCAGCCCACAAGAGGAGCGGATTGCACGTCTGGCAGATAAACCGAAATCTTTCTGCACTTGCAGGATCCTTAAAGGGATAACACATGGAGAGATGTGCAGGTATTGCAGGGAAGGACTGCATGTGATAACATACACATCAATGCAAACCTTCCATGTAAAAGTACCTTGGCCCCCGGCTTCTGGCATGGTTGGGTGGCATCACTGCACCTCCTGGTACAGCTAGAAGCTTGGCAAAGCATTGACAATGGGCTCTCAATGCATTCTTGCAGCACCTCAAACATCCAGGTCTGCTAGTGGGCTCAGTGATGTTACCTGCATCCCCCAAAACCATCGGAGGCGGGGCCAAAGTTATTGTTTGGTGATTGGTTTCTTTACAGATGGCTGTTTACAGACAATTATGTTGGGTGGGAGGCTGGCAAGAAGAAAACCTTAAACTTGCCATGGAAGGTCCACCACATCCCCCTATAACTGAAATACCAGTCTGGGGTGGTTTTGCTGTTTCAACCTCCCATGGAAGGTCAACTTTAATTCCTCCAGATACCCCCTTATAACTGCAACACCAATTGCTGTTTGAACTTGCCAGGGAAGGTCAACTTTAAGGACCCATTTACACCAGTTCCACTGCATTGTGATATGTATTTCATTGGATACTAACCGAAGTCCACCGAAAAATGATTGGTTGTGAATGGGGCAAGTTCACACGCACACACACACATCAATGGAGATCCAAACTGCAAGTCAACGGACCATACATTGACTCGCCATTTCCTTCTGATTTTGGTGTGAATGGGTCTTAAGACCACCACATCACCCCTTATAACTGAAATACCAGTCTTGGGTGGGCTTGCTGTTTCAACCTCCATAGAAAGTCTACCTTAACCCCACCAGATCCCCCTATAGCTGAAATACCAGTCTTGGGTGGGCTTGCTGTTTCAACCTCCCATATAAGGTCCACCTTAACCCCACCAGATACCCCCTTATAGCTGAAATACCAGTTATAGGACCCTTGGTTGACTTGCGATTTCCTTCCGATTTTGCTGCAAATGGGACTTAAGACCACCACAACCCCCCTATAACCTCAACACCAGTTTTGGGTGGACTTTCTGCTTTACTATGCAGCCCAGCAAATATGCAAGCCTTTGCAGCAACTGCCCCCAAGGGGTCTAACGCCATGAGGACACAGATGGGCGATCTGATGACTGTACCCCTCACATAGGCAGATATGT